CTGTTAATACTGAAATAAAGGGTAAGCCCGCTTTGCTTAACTGTGTGAGAGCCGCGCTGGTTTTAGCCATTTGCATCAGCGATAACAAGCCTTCTTGCATACGCGCACCACCACTGGCCGATATGCAAATAAATGCCATTTTATTCTCAATGGCTGTTTGCACACCGCGCACAAAACGCTCACCTACGACTGAACCCATTGAGCCACCCATGAATTTAAACTCAAAGGCCGCAACAACGACGGGGATGCCGTTCATTGTGCCTTGCACAACAACTAATGCGTCTTTTTCAGCCACTGATTTTTGCGACTCTTTGATACGATCCGCATAGCTTTTACTATCATTAAATTTGAGCGGATCTATAGGGTTTACATCTGCGCCAATTTCAAACTGCCCCTCAGAATCTAGCAACAAGTCAATACGAGCGCGTGCACTCATACGATTGTGGTGTCCACATTTTGGGCAAACTTGGGCATTTTCATCTAAGTCTTTATGATAAAGCGCCATTTGACATGACGGGCATTTCTCCCAAAGCCCTTCTGGTACAGATTGTTTGGCGCGCCCAACAACGCTTTTAATTTTTTGTGGTAACTGATTTAGCCATCCCATATTAACCCCTTTAGTGCATCATTTAACTTATTTTTTTAGCTGCATCCATAGCCACTTTTAACTCATCCATTAATGCGGCCACATTGCTCAATAAATTAGCATCGTTTGATTCTTCAATGGTCATCACCATGCGGCTGCCCACTACCACCGCATCGGCAATTTCAGCTGTGGCTTTTGCAGTTGCCGCATCGCGCACCCCGAAACCAACGCCAACGGGTAAATCTGTTTGCGTGCGTATTGAAGCCACGCGCTGCGACACTTCTACAATATCTAAATTTTTTGCACCCGTCACACCTTTGAGTGAAACATAATACACAAAACCACTGGCTTGTTTAATAATTAAATCTACACGGCTAGGCTCTGTGGTGGGCGATAATAAAAATACCGGGTCAATATCACGTACGCGCAATTCTTTCACGTAATCGGCGCACTCTTCTGGCGGATAATCTACAGTAATCACCCCATCTACATCAGCCGCTTTTGCGCGGTCAGCAAAGGCAATCGTGCCAATGGCCTCAATCGGATTAGCATAGCCCATCAAAATAATCGGTGTTTTTTGGTCAGTTTGACGAAAGGTTTTCACCATCTCAAACACTTTACTCAAGCCCACTTTATGTGCCAAGGCACGCTCACTGGCGCGTTGAATCACTGGACCATCCGCCATGGGGTCAGAAAATGGAATGCCTAATTCAATCATATCTGCGCCGTGCTTAACCAAAGTGTGCATTAAGTTCACCGTATGGCTTGGGTGTGGATCACCCGCGGTGATATAAGGAATTAAAGCAACTTTGCCTTGAGATTTTAATGCAGAAAATACGGTTTGAATGCGCGACATACGATCTATTCTTTTAAAATGCTTTTACAAGACTGAATTGTACTATTTTTAAGCCAAGTAGATAAACTTTTAAGTTAAGCAGATCTGCAAAATTTACGCTAAAAATAGGCATAATAATGCCTGATTTAACACCCGAGAGATTTTTATGCCTCTGGAAGCCGCATGGATAGTGGCTTCCAGAGGTGGTGAAATGAAGAGTGCTGAAATTGCGCTATTTTTTACAAAGTGATATTGGCTAACTTTGCCACGGTATTAATGTCTTTATCGCCGCGACCAGACAAATTGACCAAAATAATCTCATCTTTACGCATGGTTTTGGCCATTTTTTCAGCATGTGCTAACGCGTGGCTAGATTCCAACGCCGGAATAATTCCTTCGGTGCGGCACAAATTATGAAATGCTGCCATCGCTTCATCATCGGTAATCGCTACATATTCAGCACGGTGAATATCTTTGAGCCAAGCGTGTTCAGGGCCCACACCAGGGTAATCTAAACCCGCCGAAATGGAATGCGTTTCAATAATATTGCCATCAGCATCTTGCATTAAGTAGGTGCGGTTACCATGCAACACACCTACTGGGCTGTTGGCAGTTAAAGGTGCTGCGTGCATGCCTGTGACTATACCAAGACCAGCTGCTTCTACACCAATCAAGCGCACGTTTGGTACGTCAATATAAGGGTAAAAAATACCCATCGCATTTGAGCCACCACCGACACAAGCCACCACGGCATCTGGCTGCCGCCCTACCATTTCCATCATTTGCACTTTGGCTTCATTTCCAATCACTGCTTGGAAATCGCGTACCATCATGGGGTAAGGATGAGGGCCCGCCACGGTGCCGATAATATAAAAGGTCGTTTCAATATTAGTCACCCAATCACGCATCGCTTCATTGAGTGCATCTTTGAGCGTTTTTGAACCACTCTCAACAGGCACAACGGTAGCACCAAGCAATTTCATTCTAAACACATTTGGGGCTTGGCGCTTTACATCTTCACTGCCCATATACACCACGCACTCTAAGCCCAAACGCGCGGCAATCGTTGCGGTGGCCACGCCATGCTGACCTGCACCCGTCTCTGCAATCACGCGCGGTTTGCCCATGCGTTTAGCAAGCAAGGCTTGGCCGATGGTGTTATTCACTTTATGTGCACCTGTGTGGTTTAAATCCTCACGCTTTAAATAAATTTGCGCACCGCCAATTTTGTTAGATAAACGCTCGGCGTGATAAATCGGGCTTGGACGACCCACAAAATGCTTCAAATCATAGGCATATTCAGCTAAGAATATCGGGTCATTACGATATTTTTCATACATCACACGCAACTCTTCTAAGGCTTCCACCAAAGTTTCAGCCACAAACGTACCGCCAAATTGTCCAAAATGCCCACGCGCATCTGGCATGTTATATAACTGCATATTTATTCTCCGCTTAATCTCACTTCACGCATAAAGTCGGCAATTTTTACCGCATCCTTAATGCCTTTTGCTATTTCCACCCCGCCGCTGACATCTACAGCGTAAGGTTTTACTTGTTTAATGGCTTGCGCCACATTTTGCGCATTTAAGCCACCAGCTAATATCACTGGTTTAGCTAAATTTTTAGGAATTAAATTCCAATCAAACACTTGCCCAGTGCCGCCTGCTATGCCCTCAGTATAAGTATCGAGCAATAAGGCTTTAGCATCTGCAAAATCTTGTGCGCATTGTAGCAAATTTGTATCAGGCCTTACTCGAATTGCCTTAAGATAAGGCAGACCAAATTGATTGCAATCTTCTGGTGTTTCATTCCCATGAAACTGTAATAAATCCAAGCTTACGTTCGACAACACCTCTTTGATATCGTTTATAGCTGCGTTCACAAACAAACCAACCACACTGACAAAAGCAGGGATTTGTTGCACAATTTCATTGGCTTGTGCCACGCTGACATTGCGCGGGCTAGGCGGATAAAATACCAAGCCTATCGCATCTGAGCCGTGCTGAACAGCACAAAGCGCGTCCTCTACACGTGTGATGCCACAAATTTTGACTCTGGTTCTCATAACAGCATAATTTTACAGTAAAACAGTTAGTTTCTCTGATAATTCTGGTAAGCCCCACTTAGCGTCATAACATACAGAGGTTAAATAGAGACCATGAGGTGAAAAAGTTGGGGGTGACAAAGTGCGGTTGTGTTGCTCGAGCAAAGTTTTTATATAATTGGGCGGGTAAGCACCCTTGCCAACATAAATCAGCGCACCAATCATATTGCGTACTTGATGGTGCAAAAAGGCATTGGCTGAAAAATCAAAAATAAAATATTGGCCTTGTTGCCGCACTTCCGCTTTAGTAATGGTTCGTACTGGCGTTTTGGCTTGGCACTGCGCTGCACGAAAAGCACTAAAATCATGCTCACCTACCAAGTAAGCAATCGCTTCTTGCATAGCAGATAAATTCAATGGCAAATGGTACCAGCCCGTTTGCTTAGCCATGAGCGCCGAAGCCACTGGGGCGTTATAAAGTAAATATTGATAAGCGCGTCTACTCGCTGAAAAACGCGCATGAAAATCATCACTCACCTCATGTGCCCACTGAATACGCACTGTGGACGGCAAATGCGCATTCACCCCCCGCACCCAAGCCGATAATGGCCGTAAAGTATCCGTTTCAAAATGCACCACTTGTCCTAATGCATGCACACCAGTATCCGTGCGCCCCGCAGCGTGAACGCGAATTGCATGTTGTGCAATTTGAGCGATTGCAGCCTCTAAAATGTCTTGCACTCCGCTTTTGTCTGACTGACTTTGCCAGCCACAAAACAAAGTCCCTTGATAGGCTAGCCCTAGTGCTATTTTCATAAAATGACTTGGTACAAAAAACATGAAAAAACAAACACCACAATCACAAAGATTGTGATTTTATCGATCCATTGTATGGGCTGCAGCTGTAGATTTACAATTTTGTTAATGTTGATATTCATGCTAGGTTGATGGAGTGCTTGCAAGAAATGCCAATCTATTTTCGATCGTTCAGCAAATATCTCAACATACTCAAACGTTAAAAATAATCGAGCTGAAAATTTCTCAATATTAAATCCAAGCCACTTGAAAGGGGTAAGCAGATAAAATAATGCTGCTAACAATTGCTCTTTTTTGCTTGTTGAAAATAGTAAATTTAAGATAGCAAGGGCGCAACATAATTTGCCTATCTGTATTATTCCAGCTTGTAGGCCCTCGTATGTGGGCAAAATAGTGGTAGAAAAATTCGCAATATATTCGCCAGGCGTGGTAAGTGCGTAAATTAACAATAGTGAAAACCATAGCCAGCGCATACGACTTAAAACTTTTAAATATTGACCGTTTCCTTTCCATATTGCCAATATGAAAAAAAATACGCACAACACTAAAAGCAACTGAACAGGTAAGATGTTCATCAGCAATAACATTGAAATTAAAAATAAGATTTTTACGACAGGATGCACAGTAAAATAATTAGCCGACATTAATAAGGTGACAGTGCACATTCTATCAACAAAAAAGCCGAGCTGTTGCTCGGCTTTTCTAAACTAATTTTATCAGGCAAGGCCATCCAAGAGTTTCTGAGCACGTTGTTTTTGTGCGGGTCCACCCTCTTTTATGACCTCTTCAAGCAACTCTCTAGCGCCTACTTTATCATCCATATCCATATAAACTGCAACTAAATCAAGCTTGATTTCCACGTCTGGTGATTCTGCACCTGAAGATTCAAGCGCACTCGACGTGCTAGATTGACTCAAATCAGGCTGAATCGTTGGGCTACCTAAATCAAGATTGATTGATGATAAATCTAATGCTGGTGCAACTAGCTCATTCACGACTGGCAAGTCATCCGCTTTGGCAGACTCACCAAATTGAATATCTGGCAAACCAGCAGAAGGCAACTCAAAAGTAAAATCTTGAGCAATATCATCTTGTTGTGCTAGTGGCTTTACTTCTGGTTCAGTAGTCGCATTTGGTAGTTCAAAGTCTAGGGCAAAATCTAAAGTTTCAACTGGTGCAGAATTAACCTCTGCTTCCAAATTGTTAGTTACATTATCTGTAGCAGTAAGATCTAACGAAGGCAATTTATCTGAGAGATTAACAGCATTATCTTGGGTTACTTCATTTGCGTCCAAATCTGCAACATTTACACTCTGCGCTAAATCAAATTTCTCTCCGATTTCAAAATCCATTAAATTACTATCATTAATATTAGATCTAGCTATAGGTTCAGGCGTAAATTCTGATATTGTGCTTGCTCCTATATCCAGCACATCATCGTTATCTAACTGAGAAAAATCAATTTCTTGCGGACTGACTGTATCCGACAAGTCTAATTCATTAGAAAGCGGCTTATCATCATCCAGAGAAAAATCAATATCATTACTGTCAGCAGTTAGCAAATCTGGTGTAGACAATATGTCATTAGCCGTACTCTCAGCCGTTTCAGAAAAATCCATATCATCAGAAGTTAAACTTGTAGCCGCCGCAGTTGCTGCCACACTGATTTTACTTAAATCATACAAAGGATTATCAGGCTCTAGTTTGGCACCCAAGGTTGCAACTTTAGCCCATACAGGGTCATCCGCCCCTAGTGAAGTATATAGTTCACCTGCTATTGTTTCAAAAGAAGCAGCATCTTTGTTTTCTACATATATCTCTAGTAGTTTTAAGTGCAATTCATAGCGCTTAGGTTCTTTTAGAATCGCGTCTTTCAAAATTTCTTCAGCTTGTGTGCCACGCCCATAAGCCATATATACTTCAGCTTCTGCGATTGGGTCAACATCATTGGTGTCTATCATGCCACCATCAACACTTTGTGCGAAATCAGTTAGAAATGATGTATCTGAAGTGCTGGTGTTACTTGTCGTATTGCCAAACACAGTATTTGCACGCAAACCACCCGAAGTTAATATGCCACGTTCAAAACTGTCTAGATTTTTCTTACGTTTATTACGCAAGAACATCCAACCCGCCCCTAGCAAAGCTATGCCTAAACCGCCACCAATCAGTGGTAAGTTGTTATCGCCAGCCATAATGCCATCTATAAAACCAGGTTCTTCCACTGGCGTTTCAATTGGTACTGTAACAGCAGGCTTTTGTTCCGCAACTGGCTCTGGCTTAGACGGTTCAACTGCAACCTCAGGCATGACAGTTGTAGTTGCAGATACATCAGCTGGTTGAGTTGTAGTCGTACCTGAAACATCAGGTACGACTGGTATATCAACTCTCACCTCTGGTTTTACTTCTGTGGTTGTGGCTGAAACAGCTGGCAAGGTCTCAGAAACAACAGTATTTTGTTTTTCTGACATTGTCTGGTTTTTTAAATCCAGCACTTTTTTCATGTCATTGATTTGGCTCTCTAATTGGGCTGCTCTTTCTTGACCTTCTTTTAGAGATTTTTCTTGTGCTAGAGTTTCTTCCTGAAGCGCTATGAGTTTATCGTCAACACCTTTAACACCTTTTTCACCAGCCGAAAGTTTTACCACATCTTGTGGACCAGTTTTTGTTTCTGCTGCTTTATCCTCAGCTGTAGTAATTTTACCCGTCGATGTTTGTTTTTCCTCAGCATCATTTGTAGCAACTGAGCTGGCAACCACTTTTGCCATTGAATTACGGTAAGCATTCCAGTTATTTGAATGCGCTCTAACAACTTGTCTTGCCTGATTATTGCTAACAGAAGTGAGGCTATCTTTTGTAGGAACCTTGATAATTTTACCAACTTTTAAGCGATTGATATTACCTTTAATAAATGCATCCTGATTTGCCGCATACAAACCTGCTAGCATTTGATCTAAGCTAACCCCTTCAATTTGCAAATCCTTTGCTATTGAGGTCAGTGTATCACCACTTTTTGTAGTTGTTTCTTGTGCATCAGCCGCAACTTCTACTGCCATCTCAACTGGCGGTTTTGCTGCAACTTGTTTTTTCTTATACTTCTTTATTTTTTTTGTGCTGGTTTTTTTTACTTCAGTTTGTGTTTCATCAGCAGCGGACGTAGTATCAGACGCAAAAGGTGAAGACACTTCTACAGCATCGCTCACCACCTCGGTAGGTTTGTAAGTTGGGGGATCCAATAAAACGGTGTACTCGCGTTGTAGTTGTCCACTATCCCAATCCATCTGAATAATCATATCCAAATACGGATCATTAATCGGCTCACTACTGCGCAATGTTAATACAGACTTGCCGCCACTGTTTTTAACAAGCTCTACTTTAATATTATTATGTATTCCAAGCCTTGTTACAGCTTGAGCAGCAAAAGCCTCTTCTGAGGCAATAGAAGCAGCTAACGTTGCTAACTCTTGAGGCGTAGCAATCACTTCAATTTCTGCTCTTAGCGGCTCCCCCAAGCTTGATAATGTGTTCAGCTTCCCTAAACCTGCGGCGTAAATTGAAAATGGCGTAAGTGCCAAGCACACAGCCAGAGAAATTTGCTTTATTTTAGATTTTTGCACAGCGATTCCTTGATGAAACTATATATTGGCAAATATTAAAATAACATCAATTAGTTAGCTATGCAAGCTAAGAATGCACCTTACGAACATTCTTAACATTTTACGGGTGCAAGTGTTTGCTATTTTTGCAACAACACACTTGCAAAGTTTGATTATTTTTCTATTAAAATCCGTAACATACGACGTAAAGGCTCGGCCGCACCCCATAGCAATTGGTCCCCTACGGTAAAGGCCGAAAGGTAGTCATTCCCCATCGCCATCTTACGCAACCTACCAACTGGCGTAAGCAGTTTTCCAGTCACAAATGCTGGGGTAAGTTCGCGCATACTTACATCACGTTCATTTGGAATAACTTTTGCCCACTGGTTAGCGCCCGCTAACATTTGGTTAATTTCGTCCATTGGCACATCTTTTTTGAGTTTAATAGTTAATGCTTGAGAGTGGCAACGCATTGCGCCAATGCGTACACATAATCCATCAATGACAATCGGGTTAGCTTCGCGACCTAAAATTTTATTGGTCTCAACACCGCCTTTCCACTCTTCTTTGCTTTGACCATTGCCTAAATCTTTGTCTATCCAAGGAATTAAGCTACCTGCCAATGGCACACCAAAGTGTGAAGTGGGAAAGCTGTCATCGCGCAAAGTACCTGCAATCGTGCGATCAATATCTAAAATAGCCGAAGCTGGATCTGCTAGCAATTTGCTTGCCGCAAAATGTGCCTCACCCATTTGATTGAGTAGTTCACGCATATTTTGTGCGCCCGCACCTGAAGCTGCTTGGTAGGTCATAGAAGTAGCCCACTCAACCAAGTCGGCTTTAAATAAGCCATTCAATGCCATCAGCATCAAAGAAACTGTACAGTTTCCACCCACCCAATTTTTGCCACCTTTTTGCAATGCATCTTTAATCACATGCATATTGACAGGGTCAAGTATGATAACTGCGTCTTTTTCCATACGCAAAGTTGAAGCCGCGTCAATCCAATGACCTTTCCAACCTGCATTACGCAATTTTGGGAAAATTTCACTGGTGTAATCGCCGCCTTGGCACGAAACAATCGCATCCATATTTTTTAAAGCGTTAGTGTCTTTAGCATCTAATAATGCTGGAGTTTCTTTACCCACATTTGGGCCTTTGCCTCCCACTTGTGATGTGGTAAAAAATTGTGGCTCAATATCCGCAAAATCATTTTCTTCCAACATACGCTGCATGAGTACGCTGCCTACCATGCCACGCCAACCGATAAAACCTACTTTTAACATTTCTTATCCAATACTTGCTGTATTTATTGAGTTGACTTTTGCACGGCTTCACCCGCTTTTTCAATGTCTTTTCCTACACCATGCACCGTGTTACATGCGCAAAGAATTAACGCTAACGTGATTCCAACCAAGTATTTTGACATATTGCCTCCAAATAACACATTAAATCAAACCAACAAAACCACTGATGACTTAGATAATTATACCAAGTCATGCCATTTTATTACATCGCAGCCACAATTTGGTCGCCCATTTCTGAGCATGATACACGCTTCATACCTTCTTCATAAATATCACCTGTACGGTAACCTGCCGCCAACACTTTCTTAATCGCGTTTTCAATGCGTTGCGCTGCGGCTTCATTATCAAAGGTGTAACGCAACATCATCGCGGCTGATAATACAGTCGCAATTGGGTTGGCTAAGTTTTTACCGGCAATATCAGGGGCTGAACCATGTGATGGCTCATACAAGCCTTTTTTAGTTTCGTTCAAACTTGCTGAAGCCAACATGCCGATAGAGCCTGTCAACATAGAAGCTTCATCAGACAAAATGTCACCAAAGATATTGCCAGTCACCATCACGTCAAATTGTTTTGGATTGCGGATGAGTTGCATGGCCGCGTTATCCACGTACATATGGCTCAACTCCACTTCTGGATATTCGCTTGCCACGTCAATCACGATTTCTTTCCAGAACTCGGTGGTTTCAAGCACGTTGGCTTTATCAACTGAACACAATTTTTTCTGACGTTTCATGGCAATTTGGAAAGCCACGTGCGCAATACGACGCACTTCTGACTCGCTATAGACCATGGTGTTAAAGCCTTCGCGCTCGCCTTCTTCATTCACGCGCATACCACGTGGTTGACCAAAGTACACGTCACCTGTGAGTTCGCGCACAATCATAATATCCAAGCCTGCCACCACTTCTGGTTTAAGTGTTGAAGCATTCGCCAACTCTGGGTACAACACGGCTGGGCGCAAGTTCGCAAACAAGCCCAAGTCTTTGCGAATGCCTAACAAACCACGCTCTGGACGTAATGGACGGTCTAAGTTGTCATATTGTGGACCACCAACTGCGCCCAACAATACTGCATCCGCTGCACGGCAAACCTTTTGCGTGAATTCAGGGTAAGGATGACCGTATTGGTCATACGCTTGACCGCCCAAAGGGGCTTCCGTGAAGGTCATGTCCATGCCTTCGCTTTTTAATACATCCAACACGCGCAAAGCTTGTTTGATAATCTCTGGGCCGATGCCATCACCGGGTAATACTGCGATATTCATTGTCATGATTTTTCCTAAATATTTAAATTCTTCTGCTCGTCATTCCCACGTAAGTGGGAATCCATTTATAGTCTTAAAGCCACTGGATTCCGTGTCATGCACGGAATGACGGCGATGTGTTTATGCGAATAGCCAAGGTTGACTCTGCTTATGTTTACTCTCAAAAGATTTAATCTTTTCCGCATGCAACAACGTCAAACCAATTTCGTCCAAGCCATTCAACAAGTTATGTTTTGAGGTTGGATGAATGTCAAACGTGAATGTTTCGCCAGAAGGCAAAGTCACGGTTTGTGAAGGCAAGTCTACGTTTAAGGTATACCCTTCATTGGCTTGACATTCATTGAACAATTTGTCGACCATGGCATGACTGGCCACAATCGGTAACATGCCATTTTTGTAGCAATTGTTAAAGAAAATATCGGCGTAACTTGGCGCAATAATCACACGGAAGCCGTAGTCTTCAATCGCCCAAGGTGCATGCTCACGGCTAGAGCCACAACCAAAGTTCTCACGCGCCAACATAATTTGCGCACCTTTGTATCGAGGCTGATTCAGCACGAAGTCTGTGTTCAATGGACGATTTGTACAATCCATGCCGGGTTCGCCGTGGTCTTTATAGCGCCACTCATCAAACAAATATGGGCCAAAACCAGAACGTTTAATACTCTTTAAAAACTGCTTTGGAATAATCGCGTCAGTATCAATATTGGCGCGGTCTATCGGGCAAGCTAAGCCTTTTAATTGGGTAAATGCTTTCATTTTCGATTCCTTTTACAAACTGCGCACGTCAACAAAATGGCCTGCAACTGCTGCGGCAACCGCCATCGCTGGGCTGACTAAGTGCGTACGTCCGCCTTGACCTTGGCGACCCTCAAAGTTACGGTTTGAGGTTGAAGCACAACGCTCACCTGGGCTGAGTCTATCTGCGTTCATCGCTAAACACATACTGCACCCCGGTTCACGCCATTCAAAACCTGCCTCGATAAAAATTTTGTCCAAGCCTTCTTCTTCCGCCATGCGTTTTACTTGGCCCGAGCCAGGCACTACCATGGCTAATTGAATAGAACTAGCCACTTTTTTACCTTTAGCCACCACCGCTGCAGCGCGTAAGTCTTCAATGCGGCTATTGGTGCATGAACCAATAAAAATTTTATCTAATTTAATCTCTTCAATTGGCGTGTTCGCGGTTAACCCCATGTACTTCAAGGCATTTTCAATACTGGTGCGCTTAGTTGCATCTTTTTCTTGTGCTGGATCTGGCACCAATCCGTTAATTGGCAATACTTGCTCGGGCGAAGTACCCCAAGTCACTTGTGGGGCGATGTCAGCGCCTTTTAACTCAACTACGCTATCAAATGTTGCATCAGCATCCGTTGCCAATGTATTCCAATAAGCCACTGCATTATCCCAATCCGCTGGTTTTGGCGCGTATTGACGGCCCTTTAAGTACTCGGCTGTTTTTTCATCTGGCGCGATAATGCCAGCGCGTGCGCCTGCTTCAATCGCCATATTACAAATCGTCATGCGGCCTTCCATGCTTAATGCACGAATCACATCACCACCAAACTCAATCGCAAAGCCATTGCCACCTGCCGTGCCAATTTTGCCAATCACGGCTAAAGCCACGTCTTTTGCCGTCACGCCCACACCTAACTCGCCATCTACACGCACCAACATGCGTTTTGATTTTTTGGCGATTAAGGTTTGTGTCGCTAATACGTGCTCAACTTCAGAAGTCCCAATGCCGTGCGCCAATGCGCCAAATGCACCATGGGTTGAAGTATGGCTATCACCACATACCACAGTCATACCTGGCAAGGTCGTACCGTTTTCAGGCCCAATTACGTGGATAATGCCTTGATTCGCATGTTTAAATGGAAAGTAAACCAATGCACCAGTTTCTTTAATGTTGCTATCAAGCGTTTCTACTTGCAAACGTGAAATCGGGTCTTCAATGCCTTTGGCCCAATCTTTAGTTGGCGTATTATGGTCAGGGTTCGCGACAATCGTATCCGAACGCCAAGGTTTGCGATTTGCTAAACGCAAACCTTCAAACGCTTGCGGGCTGGTCACTTCATGCACCAAATGTCGGTCAATATAAATCAAGCATGTGCCGTCTGCATCTTCATGCACCACATGCGAATCCCATAATTTATCGTAAAGCGTTTTTCCCGCCATGATAGCTCCTAAAATTGTACAGAATCAAACAAGAACGCAAGCATACCTAAGTTTTAATACCCTGACAATGATATAGGTTATACTAGTATTAAACATAACAGGATAAGTAATCTCCATGGGCACACGACGCAAAGAACTAGGCGAATTTTTACAAGCCTTACGCCAACGTGGCACACCCGAAGAGTTTGGCTTCCCAACAGGCGCGCGCAGGCGTACTCAAGGCCTGCGCCGTGAAGAAGTCGCCCAGCTCGCAAGCATTAGTGCCACTTGGTACACGTGGATAGAACAAGGCCGTGATGTGAATATTTCCGCAGATGCCCTGCTACGCTTAAGCCAAGCTCTAAAACTCAGCCGAACTGAACGCACATATTTATTCGATATGGCCGATAGACGCGACCCACAAGCGCATAATAACGAAGCCGACTCCGCGCCAGAAACCTTAATCAAAATATTAGACAGCATCACCATACCAGCCTATATTTTGGGCAAAACTTGGAACGTGTTAGGCTACAACGCGCCCGCGCAAACGCTTTTTAATGAATGGTTTAGCCAAAACCTAGAGAAACCCAAGCAAGATGCGCCACCCAACTTGCTCAGATTAGTATTTACCCAGCCAAATGCTAAAAGTTTTATTGCCAACTGGGAGGCACGTAGCAAAAGGCTGGTTGCGGAATTTCGTGCAGACTGTCGTAGCAGACTAGAAGAACCAGAGTTAAAAAGCCTCGTTGCTGAACTCACACAAGCCAGCGCCGAATTTGAATTATTTTGGAAACAACACGACGTATTAGAGCGCCAAGGCGGCTTGCGCGAGTTTAACCATGCCGCACTAGGCGTGCTCACCTACCAACAAATTACAGTGCGCCCTGTGGAACAAGAACAACTCAAATTGGTGCTTTTACAACCAAATAAGCAAGTGAATTAAAAAGCTAAAAATCGCCCGAGGATTTTTTATGCCTCTGTAAGCCGTATGGATACTGGCTTGCAAAGGTAGTGAAATGATGTTGTGCTAAAAATGCGTGCTTTTAATGTATTTTTTTATGATGTTATAGGGCGGACTCGTAAAGCAGTCCACCGAATTTGATGTTAAATTACATACGGAGTAACGTAAACGAGTGTGCCCCTACGGGCTGGAGTCTGATAATGAATAGAGATGAGGAGATTGTGCTGCATTATTTGGAAGGTAAATTTCAAAAGGTAGTTTATGAGCCTGATGGTAACATTCCACCTGATTATTTAGTTGACGACACAATTGCTGTTGAAGTCAGAAAACTCAACCAAAACTTCATACTTAAAAATGGCAAATTAAAAAGTTTAGAAAAAGAGCGCTTCCCACTTAGAGATAAAATTTTATACCTACTTAATAATCAAAACTCTCATAAATCTAATTCTAGCTGGCTTGTAGGTGTTCGTTTTAAAAGGCCGATAGAAAATTGGGAATCTCTATCAAAGAAGATCGAAAAAATTTTAGATATTGTAAAACTAACTAACTTGTCTGAATTCTCTACTTTTTATATTAATGAAAATTTCGAATTAAAATTTTCCCCTATAGAGAGAACAAGCGAATTATTTCATCTTGCAATTTATACAGACTCAGACGAAAGTGGCTTTGTTCTTCCAAAAATTGAACATAACTTGAAACTCGTTATTGATGAAAAAACAAATAAGATTGAAAAGCATAAACACAAATACCCTGAATGGTGGCTAGTTTTAATCGACTATATTGGATATGGTCTTAGAGATTTAGAGAGAGTTCAAATAAACCAAAACACAATAGTTAAACGTGATTGGGATAAAGTGATACTCATTAACCCTCTGAATATTGAGTCTTACTTTGAGCTGTAAAACTAACCTACAATTTCATTAGCTTCACTTCTACCGCATCCTTCAACGCCAACCAAGACGCTTCAATAATATCGGTTGAAACGCCAATGGTCGTCCAGCTTTGTTGCTGGTCGGTAGATTCAATAATCACGCGCACTTTGGCGGCGGTGGCTTGGCTACTATCTAAGACGCGCACTTTATAATCCACCAATTTAATCTCGTTAATGGCTGGGTAAAAATCTGCCAAGGCTTTACGCATGGCTTTGTCTAGCGCATTCACCGGGCCATCGCCTTGCGCGGTGGCATTTGCATCAACGCCACTCACGTTCACATGGATGGTGGCGGAAGAATTGAGGCCATCGGCTGAAGGCTCAAAAATACTGACGTTGTATTGCTTGAGGCTAAAAAATGGCTCAAATTTACCTAGCAGTTTGTGAATTAACAAATCAAACGAGCTTTCGGCGCCTTCAAACTGGTAGCCTTCATGCTCCAAGGCTTTGAGTTGCTCTAACACGCGGATGGTGTCGGGCGAATCTTTAGTCAGCGTTGGTTCAATTTGCTGCAATTTATTCAGCAATGCGCCCCGCCCTGCGACTTCTGAAACCAAAATATGGCGGATATTACCCACTTGTTCCGGGTTAATGTGCTCATACGAAATCGGGTTTTTGTTGACCGCATCAATATGCATACCACCTTTGTGCGAAAACGCATCGTTTCCAACATATGGTGCTTTATCGTTAAATGGCATATTAGCGACTTCGTTCACAAAACGCGCTACATGCGTGAGGGTGCTAATATTTTCTGGTGGAATGCAACTCAGCCCCAGCTTTAATTGCAAATTGGGGATGATGGAACACAAATTGGCATTACCACAGCGCTCACCAATGCCATTGATGGTGCCTTGCACCTGTGTAGCACCTGCTTGGACGGCGGCAACAGAATTCGCCACCGCCATTTCACAATCGTTATGGCAATGAATGCCTACTTGCACACCGCCTGATTGAACAGAACCAAATTGGGCAACGACTTTTTCCGTGATTTCAAAAATTTCATTCGGGAAAGTGCCGCCATTGGTATCACACAAGGCCAGCACATCTGCACCCGCCTCTGCCGCCGCTTTTAAGGTTGCTAAAGCGTAATCCGCATTGGCTTTGTAGCCATCAAAAAAGTGCTCCGCATCAAAAGTGACTTCTTTGCCTTGCTGCTTTAAAAAAGCAATGGTGTCCGCTATCATGGCTAAATTTTCTTCTAGCGTAGTTCGCAGAATATCGGTGACTTGGTAATCCCAACTTTTACCAAAAATTGCAACGGCTTGCGTATTGGCGCTTAATAAAGAACGCAGGTTGTTGTCATCTGCCGCTTTGATGCCGATACGGCGCGTGCTGCCAAATGCGATAATTTTTGCGTGTTGTAATTGCAGATCTGCCGCGCGCTTAAAAAACTCTAAATCTTTAGGGTTAGAGCCTGGGTTGCCCGCTTCAATATAGCCAATTCCTAGCGCATCTAGTTCTTTTACTATTTTAAGCTTGTCTTCCACCGTAAAAGAGACGCCTTGCGCTTGCGCACCATCGCGCAAGGTGGAGTCATAAGCCGTGACTTTAGTTTGCTGCATCATTTATTTCTTTATTATTATTGATGAGAAAAGGCGATGGTTAATCTCTAAAATTGCCAAATTGTAGCGGAAAATCCGTCACATTTTTTTTGCAAAATGCGATTGCCTCTTGCAGCACATCACGTTTTGCGCCGTTCACCCGCACCGTGTCGCCCTGAATGCTGGCTTGCACTTTCATACCAGAATCTTTGAGCAGCTTTACCAGACGTTTGGCTAAATCACTATCAATCCCCGCACGAATTTTAAGCTCTTGTTTTACCTTGTTACCACCCACCTTTTGCACATCTTTATGATCTAAGCGTTTTGATGAATCGGGCTCTTTTTTCTCCATCGCGGGGAGCAAAATATCTTTGATTTGGTCGAGCTGAAAATCGTTATCGCCAAACAAAGTAATCAAATTATCTTTTTCGTTGAGTTCTACTTTGGCAGACGTGCCTTTAAAGTCATATCGATTGGTAATTTGCTTACCCGCAGTATCTACCGCATTTTTCAACGCGACCATATCTACTTCAGAACTGATGTCAAATGAAGGCATAAAAAACCCTTTCTAATGATGTCGTCAACATGCTCAAAACACCCCGAGAGAAAATCGCGCCTCTGTAAGCCAGTATCCATGCGGCTTCCAGAGCACCACTCAGGAAGATGTGTGATTTTTATTCAAAATGACAAACGTAATCTACCGTTTCGGTCACTTCAATTTCAAAAGAAGAATTGCCAGGTACTGTAAACTTTTCACCGGCTTTATAGGTTTTCCAAGCAGACTCATCTTTTAGGCGCACGTTACATACGCCTGAGTTAATTTCCATCAGTTCAGGCGCTGCGGTATTAAATGTGAGCGAGCTTGGGAAAATAACACCGATAGTGCTGCGCGTGCCGTTAGGAAACATTACAGTGTGACTCACACATTTGCCGTCAAAATAAATATTAGCTTTCTTTTTAACGCTAACGTTGTCGAATTGTGCCATTTGCTTGCGCTTTCTTTTAAGATAATCAAAAAAACTATTATCGCAGAAAAGGCACGCGCGACCAAGTGCGGACTAGACTTTTCGCCTAGTGTTTTTAGTCTTTTATTGCAGATTTTTAGGCGCTAAAATTATGCAAAATGGTCAGCATCTGCCAATAATTTGGCCTGGCTGTCTTTACCAGATAATAAAGGGGTTGATGTGCTAGGCCATTGAATAGCAATCGTTGGGTCATTCCAAATAATGCTGCGCTCATGGGCGGGTGCGTAGTAGTCTGTTGTTTTATATAAAAATTCAGCCGTGTCGCTCAGCACTAAAAAGCCATGCGCAAAGCCTTCTGGCACCCACATTTGGCGTTTATTTTCAGCAGAAAGCTCGCAAGCCACATGCTGACCAAAAGTGGGTGAGCTTTTGCGAATATCCACTGCCACATCAAGCACGGCACCTTGTGTGACGCGTACCAATTTACCTTGTGGTTGCTGAATTTGATAGTGCAAGCCGCGTAATACATTTTTGGCCGATTTGCTGTGGTTATCTTGTACAAACTGAACACTTCTGCCAATGGCTTCTTCAAACAGCTTTTGACTAAAGCTCTCAAAGAAAAAGCCGCGGTCATCACCAAACACTTTGGGTTCGACAATAATAACTTCAGGAATGTTGGTTTTGATAAAGTTCAAAATGGCATACCTTCTTTAAGTAAACGCATCAGATATTGCCCATAGCCGTTTTTAGCTAAAGGCTGGGCTAATTTTTCCAACTGTTCAGCGTTAATCAAACCTTTGCGGTAAGCAATTTCTTCAGGGCAACAGACCTTTAAACCTTGGCGATGCTCGATTGTTTGTATAAAGTTACTGGCCTCAATTAAACTTTCGTGTGTGCCCGTATCTAACCATGCATAACCTCGCCCCATAATTTCAACATTCAGTTGTTTTTGTTCAAGATAAATACGATTTAAATCAGTGATTTCCAATTCCCCACGTGGCGAAGGCTTCAAGTTAGCCGCCATATCAATCACTTGATTATCATAGAAATATAAACCTGTCACCGCATAATTGCTTTTTGGCTTTGCAGGCTTTTCTTCTAAACTGGTGGCCTTGCCTTGTTTGTCAAAATCCACTACACCATAACGCTCTGGGTCATTCACATGATAAGCAAATACTGTTGCGCCTGTTTTTTGCAACGCGGCTTGTTCTAGCTGCTTATGTAAATCGTGGCCGTAAAAAATATTATCGCCCAACACTAATGCGCTAGGGTCATTGCCAATAAAATCTTTGCCGATAATAAAAGCTTGCGCCAAACCATCTGGGCTGGGCTGCACGGCATACTGCAAGTTCAAACCCCAATCACTGCCATCACCTAATAATTGCTGAAAACGCGGCGTATCTTGTGGCGTTGAGATAATTAAAATGTCTTTGATACCCCCAAGCATCAGTGTGCTTAGCGGGTAGTAAATCATCGGTTTGTCGTAGATAGGCAAGAGCTGTTTTGAAACCACTCGCGTGACTGGGTGTAAGCGCGTACCCGAGCCACCTGCCAAAATAATACCTTTGCGTTGCGTCATGTTGTTGTTTCTCTTAAGTTACTTAAAATTTAGTCTCTGATATTTTAACAGTTATTCTAAAATCTCGGTGAGCATACGCGTCACGCCACTTTGCCAATCTGGTAAGCGCAGACCAAACGTACTTTGCAATTTTTGTGTATTTAAACGTGAATTTAAAGGCCGTGAAGCTGGTGTGGGAAAAGATGTAGTTGGCACAGCCTCTATGGCTTCTGATGCTACTTTGATATCTACGCCAGCTTGCCTCGCATATTCAATCACAAATTTTGCATAGCCATGCCAAGACGTCTCACCACCTGCCACTAAATGATATAAGCCACTGACTTTTTCGTTTTGCAAAGCTGTTCTAATCGCATGTGCGGTCACATCAGCCAATAAATCTGCCCCAGTAGGCGCACCGATTTGGTCATTAATCACCTTAAGTACTTCACGTTCTTTAGCAAGCTTGAGCATGGTTTTAGCAAAGTTATTACCGCGCGCACCATACACCCAACTAGTGCGAAAGATTAAATGCTTGCAACCAGAAGCAAGAATCGTAGCCTCCCCCGCTAATTTGCTTTTACCATAAACACTTAAAGGTGCTGTTGCATCTGTTTCTTGCCGTGGCTGATTACCAGTGCCATCAAATACATAATCGGTGGAGTAATGCACCAGCCAAGCATCTAAGCGTTTAGCTTCTTTTGCCATGACTTCAACCGCCGAAGCATTTAATGTATGTGCATATTCTGGCTCACTTTCAGCTTTATCTACTGCCGTATGCGCGGCCGCATTTACAATCACATCTGGCGCAACGGTACGAATAGTCTGCGCTAGACCAGCTAAATCAGACAAATCGCCACATAAGGGCTGACTTTGCAAGTCGAGCGCAATGACCTCGCCTAATGGCGCAAGGCTACGCTGCAACTCCCAGCCCACTTGGCCATTTTTGCCTAACAATAATATTTTCATGAAATCACTTTAAATACTTAAATACGTAGGTGTGTGACTTTATAACACGCCAACAAATTAGAGAGCAATAGCTCTTTCTGGCCTATAGCAAAAATTACACTTAATAAAATAGTTAAAATTCAACAGCATCGGCTAAAATACTATTTTAACATCTAAGCTTTATCAAATGACAATTACCGAACTTCTCATTCAAAGCAGCTTAAAACTCTGCATAGACCCTAATACTGGTAAAGATTTCATTAGTGGCAAATCCGCCAAAAACATCCAAATTAACGGCAACAATGTCAGCTTGGACATTGTGCTGGGTTACCCTGCAAAGAGCGTGCTGAACAACGTAAAAACATTGGTTGAAAATCATCTCAAAACGATAGATGGTGTAGGTACAGTAACGGTTAATATCGGCTCGCGCATTGTGGCACACAAAACGCAGCAAGGCGTGACACTATTACCCAATGTTAAAAATATTATTGCAGTGGCTTCAGGTAAAGGTGGCGTAGGTAAATCAACCACTTCAGTGAATTTAGCGCTGGCTTTGGCAGCAGAAGGTGCGACAGTTGGGTTACTCGATGCGGATATTTATGGCCCTAGCCAGCCACAAATGCTAGGCATTAGTGGCCGCCCAGAAAGCACCGATGGTAAAAGCATGGAACCCATGCAAGCGCATGGCATTCAAGCCATGAGTATTGGTTTTTTGGTGGATACCGACACGCCCATGGTGTGGCGAGGGCCGATGGTGACAGGTGCTTTAGAGCAGTTATTACGCGACACGAAATGGAAAGATTTAGATTATTTGGTGATTGATTTACCCCCAGGTACGGGCGACATTCAACTCACACTTGCGCAAAAAATCCCCGTTACAGGTGCTATTATTGTCACCACGCCGCAAGACATTGCCTTGCTGGACGCTAGACGCGGTTTAAAAATGTTTGAAAAAGTGGGCATTCCTATTTTAGGCATTGTGGAAAATATGAGTACGCATATTTGCAGCCAATGTGGGCATGAAGAACATATTTTCGGCTCTGGCGGCGGCGCGCTGATGTGTAAAGATTACAACGTCGATTTACTCGGCAGCTTGCCACTCGATATTAACATTCGTATGCAAGCAGATAGTGGCAAACCTACAGTGATTGCCGAACCGACAAGCAAAATCGCCAATATTTACAAAGAAATTGCACGTAAAGCAGCCATTAAAATTGCCAATAGCGCCAATGACCACAGCACAAAATTCCCTAATATTGTAATCCAGAACACATAAATGGAACGCTTACAAAGTCTAATTGATGCCAACACTCTGATTACAGGTGGTTTGGCCATCACCGCTTTTGGTGTAATCGCAGTTTGGTTTCGCGATTTACCTGCAAAAATATTTAATTGGGGCAAAAAGTTTTTTGTTACTACGCTTAGTTTTGATAACCGTGATGAGTTGATGTTTCGCACGCTGGTGGAATACATGCACACGCAAGAGGCATTTTCTAAAATCAATAACTTTACCGTACGCACCGTGCGCCAAGGCAGTGATTATCAAGACTTAGCCGATGAACTCAACCAAGGTGGCAAGCCGCAAGCTTATTTATCGCCCGGTGAAGGCTTTCACATTTTTAAGTTACAAAATAAATGGGTGTGGATGACACGTGAAGTACAAGCCAATATCACCGTGCTTGAAAAAATCAGCTTATCCACACTGGGGCGAGATAAAAAATTACTGCAAAACTTTATTCAGCACGCGATAGATTTACGCATTGCTCGCGAATTAGACAAAATCTCGATTCTGATTCCCAGCTCTTATAATAATGAGTGGGTTCGCGCCAAGCTGGGCAACAATCGCAAGCTTTCGTCTATCGTATTAAAGCAAGGTCAAACCGAATCTATTTTGGGCGACTTACAGCAATTTTTTAACGCTAAAAAACGTTATGATGAACTAGGCATCCCTTGGCGACGCGGTTATTTGCTATTTGGGCCACCGGGTACTGGCAAAACTTCACTGGTGACTGCGCTGGCTTCTGAACTAAGCCTTAATGTTTGCGCACTTAGTTTGGCTTCGGCCAATATTACCGATGAGCGCATTGGCAATTTACTTTCCACCGTGCCGCCCCGCTCGATTATTTTGCTAGAAGATATAGACTCATTTTTTAGACAACGCGAAAAAGCCGATGCTGGTGTAAAGCTATCCTACTCAGGCTTTATTAACGCGCTGGATGGCGTAGCCTCGCATGAAGGATCTGTGATTTTTCTCACCACCAATCACCCGCAATTAATTGACGAAGCGGCGATTCGCTCTGGTCGCGTGGACTTTAGAATGGAGCTCACCCATTGCGATCAACACCAGCTTTATGCAATGGCGCACAAGTTTTTTGAAGATGACAACATGGCCAACGCGATTGCAGAGGCTATTCCCGCTGGCAAATTATCACCCGCCACCGTGCAAGAATGTTTGCTAAAATCTAAAACCTTAGATGAAGCATTGCAATATCTTCACGCTGCATAAAGCGCATGTTTAAGTCTATAACTCAATGGGTTAAATGCGGTTTTGCATTTATTTGCAAACTACTAGCATTACGATTTTTCCCGCGCTGGTTACGCTTCATTTTGCATAGCACTTTTGTGCTTGGCATCAGCATCTACGGCATTTTATATGGCATAGTCGGCATCAATGCTTACCAATTTTTAGCCAAACCACCGATGCAAAAAGCTGATGCCGCGCTAATTTTAGGTAACCGCACTTTTTTAAATGGCGAACCCAATCCGTGTTTAACAGGCCGTGTAGATGAAGGCGTGCGTTTAGCAAAGCTAGGTCTAGTTTCCACGCTCGCCATGACAGGCGGACGGGATTATGAGGACAATGCGATTGAAGCGCTGGAAATGGAAAAATACGCAAAATTCCAAGGATTTACTGGCCAAATTTTGTTAGAAGCGCGCTCAAGTTCCACCCAAGAAAACTTTGCTTTCTCACGCCCTATTTTAGAAGCCGCTAATGTTAAAAGCGTGATTATTGTCACAGAGCCCTATCACCTTTGGCGTGCAAAAAAATTGGTTGAAGCAGGTCATTTAGGGCAAAACTTTACTGTGACCTACGCCGCCGCACCCAGCCAATGTTGGGTAAAATGGGGCATGGTTTTTAAAGGCGCATTGCGCGAACCCTTAGCTATTATTAACAACTACGCAAAAGGTTATTTTTAAGATTTTTAAAACCTTCAAAACAGACTAATAATCGCCCGAGAGATTTTTATGCCTCTGGAAGCCGCATAGAATAAGGCTCGCAGAGGTGGTGAAATGATGTTGGTTAAATTTTTCTTCAAATTGCATATTTTTTACATGTAATATAAATCATTTTGTAGCACCCACTTTGCTGGAGACTTTTTGTGATTAAACAACTACAGAAACGCTTTGACGAATTGCTTTCCCAAGTTGATGCGGTTGCGGCAACAAAACAAACAAAATACAGTGAGTACTCTGGCTCATATGAGCAAGTTGATTCGGATATGTTGCTGGGCTGGTGCGTCAAAGCTCGCAATTTGCTGGCTAGTGCTTGCGGCAAAGACTCAGAGCATTTCACTTCATTTTTAAAAGCTGAAGAACCACAATCTTATGAAGATAACCCCGCTAGACTCAGTCGGCTTCGTGCAGTATTTCTAGCTGC